CCGTAATTTGTCAAAATTTTGCAAAATCGAAAATCGAGGTTTTTAGCCTCGTTAAAAAAAATAATTAAAATTATTAACACAGGAAAAATCGCAAAATCATACCTCAACGTTAAGCAAAATCACCCAACAAAGCCCTTGGTGGGTGCGCACCATGGCTGCTAGGCAGCCTATGGCATGGCGCCATGGTGCGTGGTTGAGGCCTGCTGTGCCTAGCAAGCAGCGCCTCAAGCCCCAGCTGCCAGGCAGCATGCTTCGCATGCTTGCTAGCACGCTGGTGCCTGCGAGCATCTGGCCTGCTGGGCAGGCGCATCATGATGCTCGTGGTGCGCTGGCTGATGCTTGCTGCCCTGCTGCCCAGCAGCTTGCTTCGCAAGCCAGCCCAGCCACCCCACGCACCCCAGCCATGCATCCCAGCCACACACACACACTGCATAGCAGCATTCAAGGCTCGCCCTTGTGCGCACCACAGGCAGCCACATGTGGGCTGCTAGGCAGCCCGGCTAGCCTTGGCGGCATTTGGGTGTGTTGCCTTGATTTGCGTGCCATGACTCGGGATTTTGATCCCGATTTGCGTGTGACATGAATTAATTCCAAATTATATTTTAGAATTAATTTTAGGGAAAAATAAAATAAAACAACCATTAAGTCTAACTTAAACAAATTTTATTTTAATTGGTGCACTAGCCTAAATTTATCCAAAATTTTAATTTTGAACAAAATTAGGTCAAACATTATGCTTAAAATAAAATGAGCTATGTCCAAATTAATCTTGCCAATATGCAAATTAATAATGGATTTGACAAAAGGGAGTTGGAAAAATAAATTAACCATCCAATGATAAAAATTTTCCAACTTGCATACTTGTGTAAAATACCAAGATTACATCTTCCAATATGAAGATTAATCAAATTTTACTCACAAGTAATTGAACTTAATGGATTTTAATCAACCAAAACATGAAAAAATCCAAACTTTGTTCAACATGGAATTTAGGGTTAGGGTTCCAATCATTTAAACACTTAAAGATTAGAACTTTAACAATACTTGGGAACTTAAAATACAAAATCACAACAAGTTTTCACACCTTATTGCAATTTATTTGCAAAATTGTGAAAAACAAGTTTATGTGATAACTTGGTATATCAACTTAAGCACTAATAAACACTCCATTATTATGCACAAGGATATTTTAAAACCAGTAGATTAGTGATGCAAATGTGCATTTAATCTAACCTTGTAATGCTTGCATTAATCAAGGCTTAAAAAGAATTAAAACTTTCGTTGAAAAACGAAAAACCCCAGAAAAAATGGGTTTCTGGTTCGAATTTGGCTTCTGGACAACCCTAAAAAGATTGAAACAGTTCCAGAATGTCGATTCCACCCAAAAATCACTATTTTTGAGCCAAAATCTGGGTTCAACAGCCAAATCGATAATAAAATCGAGTTTTAAAAATTAATTAAAACGAGCATCTAATCTAATTAGATGAACATGAACCAGAAAAATAAATTCTTTAAAACACCTCAATTAAACAATAATTGCAAAAATTAAAAGGAGCGTGGCTCTGATACCACTGTAGGGTTTCGTAGTGACCCGACACTACGCGGAAGGAAACCCACCAAGACCCGCCCCTTAATTAAAGCAATTAAACAAGCATAATTAACTAAATCAAACAAGATTAAGGAAAAGAATTATACCTTCGACGCGTGCTTCGCTCCTAAACAACTCTTACTTCAAAATCCCGAAAAGACGAGATCTCCGACGGATCGTACCCTCGACCCGACAAGAGCGTCCTAAGTCTTGAAGGTTAGTCAAGACCCGGACAAAATAACTATGAGTTTTACGAATCAAAGGTTTACTCTTTTTCTTAGAGTTGTCTTTTTAATTCCACTCAAGGTTGTCTCAAATCCCAATACCAAGCTTGGTATTTATAGGGAAATGATCCCTTGATTTCCAATCTCCCATCAATGTGGGAGAGTTGGTAAAATGATAATTATTTAATTCCAAAATTAAATAATTAATCAACTCAATCACAAATCGACACATGGCACAAATATAGAGAAAGCCAAGTGAGGACCAAGGCTTGGGGGGACCATTGCCTTGATCCCCAAGGCCATGTATTGGTCCCCACACACCATGCCCAAAACCGGGTCAAGGTGTGCTAGCTGGCTGCCAGCTAGCGTGCCAGCTGGGGCTGCCAGCTAGCGTGCCTTGCTGCCCAGCACCCAGCCAGCCAGCCAGTGCACGCTGCTGCTGGGCTGTGCTGGTGCTACGTGCTGGCGCTGGGCGCTGCTAGCACCTAGTGCTGGCATTAGCCCCAGCAGCCCACGCACTCACTCTTCGCGCCTCACTACTAGCACACCCAGCATGCGTGCTGCTAGCGAGCCACGCATGCTGGCCACACTGCCCCCCCCCCCCCGCACCATTCGCATACCCCATCGCACACACGCACTAGCACGATGCCTACGCTAGCACTAGCCAGTGCCTAGCATTGCTTGTGCTTGATGCGAGGCATGTGCGCACGTACACGCACTCGCATGTGTGGCGCTGCTGCCTAGCACCTAGCCAGGCATTGCACGCACACGCACCAGCCATGCGCCACGCACCACGCACTGCCAGCCCACACGCATCACATGCGAGGCTGCTTGTGCGAGGCTAGTGTGCGAGGCTGCGAGTGCCAGGCCCTAGCATCGAGCTGGCGCGCAGCCCCCCTTGCATGTGCTGCGATGCTTAGTGCTGCCATGCGAAGGCTAGCACTCAAGCACACGCACATGGCGCGCCATTGCCAGGCAGCCAGCCATGCCAGCACCTGGTGCTTGCGAAGGTGCTGCCAGGCCAGGACCGCATGCACGCAGCACCCAGTGCTTGCGATGGTACGCCTGGTGATGCCATGGCCTGCGATAGGCGCCATATGCACCCAGTCACCACGCTAGCATGCTTGCTAGCTGCTATGGGCTGCCTGGTGCCTATGTGGCCTGCGATGGCTGCCATGCGCACCTAGGCACCCATGCTAGCTTGCGATGGGCTGCTAGGGTGCGCCTAGGCTGTGATGGTGCCTAGCACACCATGGTGCGCCTAGCACACACATGGTGCACCTAGGTTTGCGATGAGCTAGTCTAGCCTAGCTATGGCTACGCTCATGCTTGTCGATTGTGATTTTGTGACGCTCGGTATCGACGCCCTAGGCTCGATTTCCGACGTCTGTATTCATAAAACTCTGTCGACTCATTAAATCCTTTCAAATTAATTCGAAGTCTCGGATCGGAGATTCGATTGGGTTCGACCCGAAGGGTTCAGTTAAGATTAAGCTGTAATATCAATTGTATCCTGATATTACTGATCGAAAGCGGCCTCCACCTAGGCATTCTGATCACTTGACCTTACTGAAGAATTACCTCTGTAATAATTCTGAACCCTCTATCGGAATAATACACTTGCTGGAAGGACACCATTCCGTTCACAAACTACCAGCAAGCAGACTTTAATGTTTATGATCTTTGACAAACTTTTCCATCCAAAGTTTGCGTAGTGGCAAGCTTTTTGTCAAAAATGCTTTTGCAAGCATTTCGCGCTCCACCAAGTGATCAAAAGCCGCAACACGCACCCCTTCTTCAATGTCCTCCATATTTATAATTTCGTCATAAAGCTTCTCCACATCAAGTTGATTGTTTGAAAATTTTTTGATAGCACTAACCACTTTTTGAAGTTGTGCTGAAATGTGTTCCATTTTCGATCCTTCGTCAATTCGAGACCTCTTTCGATGTGGCCTTGAGCCCAACGAGGTACCACTCTCAGCCTTGGAAGGCACGCTATCAACAGTCATACTTGGTTGTCCACTTTCCATTGAAGCATCAACATCGATGTCGGCAAATGTCTTGGAGAAGTTCCCCAGTGCTAAATCTTTACCCAGTACTATAGCCATCTCCTCATACATATCAATTTTTTGATTCAAAAACTTTTCATATTTTGGATATTCCTGCAAAAATAAAACGTTATTAGGGTCGTCTAATACAATAGCAAGTTTCTTGGTTAAATAAAAAACTTATTGTATGTATGTATATATAATACTAGGAATGAAGGCTACACCACCAGAACACCACACTGTACAATGCACTCACCAGAACACCTACACTGCACTCACCAGAACACCACATTGCACTCACCACCAGCACAGGGCACTACAACAATAACAGCATACCGCAACACACCAAACACAAGCAAGAAGCAGCGCACCACCATCACAAACATTATCCCATTAATCTCTAGTAAACAAATCAACATGTTTAGAAAAGGTGTATAAAACAACACTACCTTAACATAAGTAGCATATGCTGTGGGAGATGCTGTCACCATCTTCAAGTTATCGTTCCATCCAAACCCGGAGTTGTTTTGGACTGTTGATATAGCCACCCATGCATTCCTCACAGTTTTCATATGATTCTCCACATGTTCTGAGGTGCAATTGGTTTGAAACTTCTCAGAGATAATCTTCGCAGCAGCCACAAAAGAACTTGTTCGAAAAGTAATTCCTTTGACATGTCCTTTGACCAACGAAAGTTGACCTTTTTATCTTCTTTTATAACCTGGAACATTCACTGTAGCATTAGAATCTGAAAAAAAAAATAACATAATAACATATAAGAAATACATAATAACATAATAACATATCAGAGTAACATCCACTAATTGAGTGCTATAAGCAACAGAACAAGTTCAACTTTCTAATGTTTTATCGGCAACTTCAATTGGAGAGTCAGCAAATGCCTTATTTACATCATCACTACTGATCCCTAAAGATACATAATCACTGAAAATGTTATCTTTAATAATATAAACTGTCATAGAATATAAAATACATAATTAATGAACTAATTATCTAAAGATGCATATGCTAAGCCCATCAAATTCGAGCCTTCTTGTATACAGTCCACATCGTCGTTACAATGGGCTTTCTCTTCCTTTCAATTTGTTGTTTAACACCTTAGATGATTATCATTAAATTATGCCCTAAATCTTACATTATGCCCTAAAATGTATAAAAATTCATTACTTGTTCTTTAACACCTATTCGAATATTTTCTTTCAAAAGTCCTCTTTCAACTAGAATATTACACAAATTGAAAAATGCTTGAGGCCTTATACGAATCTGACCCAAACAATGAGTATCATCACCACAATACAAAACACTATTAACTATCTCCGACCTCAGGCTATCTCTATTAATATAGGGTTGCCTAATTATTCTTAGCCTTCTTGTTTTAGACCTACGCTCGTTAAGAAAAGCAAGAGAACAAGCAATAACAGTAGCCACAGCGCCAATAACAATGCCTTTAGTATCATTAGTCATCTACATCAATTCCATCAAAAAAACAAAAGGTTAAGCATACTTATATGTATATTAATTTGATAGTGGTTTTTGGGCAAAGTTATACCTTAGATGATTTTTGGGTAGACAATCCACGCTCCGGTTCCATAACTAATACTAGTCTAGAAAAAGAAAATTATGATGATTGATGGTATTATCAAAGTGATCAATCTAACTCAACGGCAACAACACACTTACAACAACAATTAACAAAACAACAAAACAACAATTGCTAAATTCTACGAATATATACTAATGCCTCAATAGGCAAAGCAATACATGAATTTTCACCACCAATTTCATACAGCAGCACATCATTGCACATACAAACAGCAAGCTGAAATTAATTTTTCTCAAACTACACTAGAAGAAAGCAAACGATAGAAGTTCAAACTAGAGCTGAATTTTAGCCGCTAATGGAAATTTACAGCTAACATCATAAATAAGCATATTATCGATTATCAAATAGTCACATTCATACACAGAAGCTTCATCACATTACACTGGAAGCAGCCAAAGTACATAATTCCAGCAATTGATTTTACGTGAAAACCCTAATTCCCAAATCAATAGCAAAAAATCAACCAAATTCCAGAAATTCTTCATTATTCCCTAATTAATCACAAACCTAACCTAGAATTTCGAGAGCAGTTGAATCAAACAAACCAGTTGAATCCAATAAAGAAGCAAACAATCAAAGAAAGGAAACAGAATAAATTGGAAATTACCTTATGAGAGCAGATCTTGAAGATAAGAGAGAGAGAGCAGCGAGCTTGAGGATGAGAGAGAGAGCAGCGAGCAACGATGGAAAATAGGAATACCTTGATTTTTTAGGGAAAATATTTGGGCCTCAATGGAAAAGTATTTTCTAGAATTATTTTTCATTTTATGGGCCGGTCCAAAACAAATAGTAGAAAATAGGAAAACTATTTTCAGGGAAAGGCTTTTCCCTTGAAACAAACAGAGCCTTAAAGAAGATGGAAATGACAATTTAACATGTTTGCCTAAAGGACATGAAGTGCAAATAGTGGAATCAAACTCCTTACTACATGAATTAAATGTTTAGATCTAAAACAACTAGTAACATGGGCACCAAGGTGACCTAATCTGTCATGCCAAGTGTAAGAAGAGAGAGCAACAAGAGACATGGAGGAAAAGGATGAAGGTGAACTGGATGAGGTGACAAGGTAAAGTTTGCCTGAACTATTGCATCTCATTATGATTTTCCTCGTTTGAAGATCCTTTGCAGAAAAACCAAGAGGATAAAATTCTATTGAGACATTATTATCAAGTCTGAATTTGCGAACAGAATTAAGATTTTTAGTAATATGAGGAGCCAGGAGAGACATTATGAAGGGTAAGAGAGACATTATTAGGCAAAGAAGCATGATCTGAACCATTAAATTGGAATGCTACCACCATTACCAATTAAAATAGATTTATTATTGCTTAAATTAAATAGGAGAGAGATTACCAACATGATTAGTCATATGAGAAGTAGCTCCCAAATCCATATACCATGCGAGGTCGTACTGCGGCAAGATTAATGTAGAGAATGCCTGACTTAAATCTGTAAAAGTCATAGGGAGAATAAACCTACTGCTGCTACGGGACAAAAGATGGCCTAGATATTGGCCCAAGAATTCCAGGGCTGAGATTACGTGGCTGAGAAGAGAGAGTAGGGTATGGGACCGGTGGGAGGCCCATACATTCTATTGGGCTAGGTAAGGAGAGCCCATATGCATATATATAATGGAGTGGGCGGGTATTGGTATTATTATTTGAATTAGAATTAGAATGATTATAATTATGTCTGGGTAATCTAAACGAAGCCAGCCTGACATAAAGGTGACGGGTTCGAAACTCTCCTCTCTTTTCCTTTCAAGTGGAATTAATTCGCGTCGCGTATGAACGGGTTTGTGATGCGTCTACATTTCAAGCCCAAATGGTCTTTCAAGTGAGGTCCATTAACATTATTTTCAAGCCATTATCTAAGTTCGGCTATCATATATCTATAACCCTTATAAAAGTTGAAACCCCCAACTATTCACTCTTCACTGTGCTTAGGAACAGTAATTTCTTGTGCTTTTACTCCACTGCCCCCAACATTAATGAATTGCCAATTCTGCCCCTTAGTTGATGCCTGCTGCTCTCCCACCAACTTCCTTCGATGTCTCTCTTCTCTTATCATCTCATCTCAGAGAAAAAAGGTTGAGTTGCTTTTTAGGGGAAACAAGGAGAGTGAAACCAATGATGGCGGTGAGCTCAAAACCACCGATCATACCTTCAACGATGGTTATGGGCTTCGATTCTTCTCAGCGTTTCCGATTTCGGGCGGTTGCTAAGGTTACGATTGTGGACAATGGTTTTCTGATCTCCAGGTATAATTCTCTCTCTCTTTTCTCTTTCTTGTTCAAATTGATCCAGTTTTCATCTATTCTCTTCAATTAGATTTTACCTTTTATATATGAATGTTAACTGTTTTTTTTTTTTTCTCGTCCTCCTGTTTCTCTATTTTGTCTTTAAAATAGGCGGAAGGAGGAAGATGGAGCAAGGTTTGGTGGACTCGAGTTTGAGTTGGATAAACTCAGGTGTTATTGGTTGTTTTATATTTTTTTTTTATTTCATTTCTAGAATTTTTTTTATTGTTGTTGATGTTTGTTTGTGGTTTGTGGAATTGATGGAATTTTACTTTGATTGATTGAGAAACAAGATCAGTTGAAGTTAGGCGATTTTTTTGTGAAATTCGAACTTAGTATTAGTCTCCCTTGATTATAGTTCTGTTGGTTGTTTTTTTGGAACATGTTTAGAGTGTTTTTATCTTTGATTTGCATGATTTGGTGTTCTCATTTTGTGAATTTTATGATGTTTGTGTCATATGTTATATGCTTTATGTAGATATGAGCTAATTTGGGTAGGCTGGTTTTGAGAAATGGGAGATCTTGAGATGATTATCCACCTTTTGGGGCAAATTGAAGAGCAAGTGAGTGATTTTCTTATCCTGAATTGACTATTAAATTGTTGGGTTCGTGGGGTTTTTTCTGGTGCTGATTGCATTGGGCAATTGTTCTCATTCATCCTTTGTCTTCTTCTCGCTCATACCTTGCCAAAGTAGGGGCTTTCTGAATTATGGTATGCTTTTCCTCTCCCTCCCCCCCCCCCCCATCCTCCCTTCCTCCCTTCCTCCCTTTTTGGGTAGGGTGTTTCTGCTCAGGTACATGTTTCAAAGTGTTTTAATACATCGTTTTTAGGTTGGTTTGTATGTATTTGGGAGGGATGTCTGTGTACAGATTTGTCTATGTCCAAGTATTAGCTTTTTAACTTTAATGCATCATATTATTGGTCCAAAACAAGTGTTAGTTATCTACAACTCCTTGTTATTGTATGAATATTTAGTCATATGCTATTAAGAGTCACAACTTGCATGTAGCTACTCTTGTCACCTCCTGTTTGAAAAGTGGAAAAAAAAAAAAAAAAAAAAAAAAAAAAAAAAAAAAAAAAAAAAACTGCATTTAACCTCACACTCACTCTCATCCTCACGGGCCTCACCCCCTCACAATTACAGTCAAGTGCTGAACTGTCATCTTTTTCCATACTTTACCATTGATATAAATGCATAATCCTCTATTTCTTGTAATTTTGCGGGTTGTAAATAGATTTTTGTTTTAAATTTGTTATGGTGGATTGAATTGATTTTTTGCTGTTGCCCTCTTCACGTCCAAACTACAGTCAATGTTGATATTACCGGACTCCTGGGAAGCAAGGATTTTCTCTTGGTTATCTCTTAGTCCTTAAATTTGCTTTGGGTTTTGTATTTTAATGCTTATTTTTCTATCAAATGCGTGCAAATTTTGGTTTTAGTTTAGGCATATTGTGGCTTAACCGCCTTTGTTCTAAGCTGCAAGTCTTTTCAGATTTAGCTGTGCAATTGTTTAGTTAATTGAATTTTTTTCTAAGATTTGTTTGGATTCTTAATAGACTTGGTTTATGTTTAAGCAATTTGTCTGTGTGACTGTTATTAATTGTGAAAGGTTCTATTGTATATTAGATTTCTTTATTTCATCTAAAGAAATAGTTTAAATTTGGTAATATGGAATGGCTGAAAGGTTCACTTGCTTATTCTTTGTAAACGTCTTCAGGCAAAAGCTATGCATGATGCTTGCTGCTCTTACTGCAACCTATGTCAAGTGTTTAATGTTGTTATAAGTAGTTTGGTTTACTGTTGAAATGCTTAGGTTCTTGGAATGCAGTTCAAGAACCGTTGCAGACCAATCCAGATCTAGAGGAGGGTTTTTGCTGAGCTCTGTTGTGCCGTTTATGGTTTCGTAAGGTCTTACCTTATATACTCTTGCTACTTTTATAGATTCCCCTGATTGCCAATCTTACATTAGACCATCAGGAGAAATGTGACGAGAGATTTGAGTGTTGTGCTATTTTGGTTTTTTTTTTTTTTTTTTTTTTGGCTCTGCCACTTAAGCTTGTATACAGTATAATACAATGGCCCTGGATGTTTTTCGTTATTTGCCTTCTCTGCATATATTGAGAGGACAATCGTTCTTATTGATGCCTTTGATCTTTCATGTCTATAAGTCTATTTATTTACGGAAGACATCAAGCTCTGCAATATTCTTCGGAATCCATGCCTCTATTTCTGTTGCTGTGTGCTAATGCATGTGTAAAATTTGTTTTGGTTGTAATACCCGATACAAATTCGCTAACATAGTGACTAAATTGCAATTTTCAGGGAAGGTACAGCTTTTGCTTAAGAATTTATTGGCATATAATAATATTTTGCCTCAAAATTTTGTTCAATTTGATGGCTGCATTAATTAATCAAACCTACAGTGTAATGAGACTTCATTTTTCATTGTGTGTTGCAGCATTACTACCACCTTCTTATGTGCTTGAAGGAACCCCAAGGCAAAGGCTTTGAGTTGGCAAGAAAACATATTTTATCTAGCTTATTACAGCTGGAACAAATGCAAAAATCAGCTGAGTTTCTGAGGTCTATAGGATGCTTGACAATATTGTTCTGTTAAGTGTTTTGTGTATTTATTACAGTACTTTTTTTTTTTTTTGGGAATTTTGATGATTATAAATTGCTGAAATTATATTTATTATTATAAAATACTTATTTTAAATTATTACACCACTTGTCTTTTCTGGAAATTTTACACACCATATTCAATTTGACAGTAACATTTATCACCACGTTATTTATCAGAATAGTAACTTTAGGCTTCTTCTAAGGTGGAATATTGTACCAATCGATTTCATAATCTCGAGGTTCTAGGGTCATTTAAGTCAATAATTCTAAGTACTATTTCATAATATGCAGTTTAATAGAATTATTGATGTGCTGTGGATACCATAGCTGTCTCCTTTGTCTTTCTTGTTCTAACTGGTTCAATTTTCATCTCTTCTATTAGATTTAACCTTTTATATGAATGTTGACTGTTTTTGTTTTTTTGTTTATTTCTCCTCTTTTTTCCTTTTTTTTTTTTGCCGTTATTTTTTTCTTATCCTCCAGTTTCTCTGTTTTTTTTTATCTAAAATAGGCGGAAGCCAGAAGGAGGAAGACGGAGCAAGGTTTGATGGATCTTGTTTTAGAGACATTATGTTGGACCCTGTTGTTTTATCTACTAGCTAGGTGCGATTGGCTAATGGAAATTAATTTTTTCTTGGGTTTTCGTTTAATTTTTATGATTATGTTGAATATTTGGGGTTTAATTTTATAGAACATTGTTGAATTTTCTAGGGCATAAAGTGAAGAAAATCAGGAGGAAGGAAGAGAAAGAAAGAGAGAGGTTTGGATCTTAGAGAATCCCGGCCATGGTGCGTAATTTTTCATTTCTAGCTGCACATGTTGGAGAATTACAGGGGTTGGTGGTCATGATTGAATTAAAGAAGATATTCTTGACCGAGTCGTCAATATTCATGCCCAGCTGAGTTCATTCGAATCTAATTCAATGTGATTATTTTCTTTTTCTTGTAAATATGTTATTATTTAATTGATCTGTTTAGTTTAATTCTGTTGCTCAGCCTGGTGATGTTTTATTACTCCATTATCATTTTAATCAATTTGGCTAATTTTTGGGAGTTTTGTGATTATCTTTTGAAACCTTTTTTAAAACCAGTTTTGTGATTATCTGGGTGTTCTTAAATTACTGTGAAAGTTACGGTTTTTATTACTTCAAATGGTAAACTTTTTAATCAACTTTGTTTTTTATACAAAAAAATCTTGGGTTTTTAACTATGTAGATGTTTAATTACAGGTACAAGAAGCTTCTATCAAGTGTTAACTTGACGAAGGATTTTATTTTTACAGCTATAAAAATCCAATTATACAAAGCTTGCAAAAAAAAAATATATGTGCAGCTCAAGGATTTGGTTGGAATCGGTTCATGGGCTTTTTAAGCAAGTATGTAACTCATACTTTCTTCTTGGGCTCTACATTGGTTAAAAAAAATGACACAAATGAGTCATGGGATGTCGGTGACTCATAGTTGGTATCTTAATAATCAATTTGATATTCTGATGTTTTCTTTTTTGAATGGTTTTGGGATATTTGCGAGGTTTTAATTTTACATGTACATTATTCTAGGTTGTTATTTTTTTTTCCTTTATGTTTGATACCTTTTGTATGCCCTAGACACAATTATATAACTGATGACATGTTATTGAATTTTGAAGATTTTCCTCTATGATATGAACCGTAATCAATTAATATAAATGAAGGACTTGGCTTATTTTGTGTTTTTTCTCTTAATTTCCTATTTATGTTGATTATTGAACAATGCGGTATTGATTTCATGATTAGTATCCTGAATTGGTTGAATCAATTTTCTGTAGGCTGAGAAGTTGTACACAAAATTGCAGTTTTGGGTTGTTTGGTGAAAAATCTCATTCTATAAGTTTTAAAATTTTTCCTTTTAGTATTATTGTAAAACACATATCTTGGAAAACGGCTTGATGCAATAGAGCTGGAAGAGTTTCAATATTGACGTTGTATAGTGGCCAAGGAAAGAGAGTGATGTGGATTGGTTATTAATTAAGATTTTGATGTGCTAAATATCATAGGTAGTTTGTTGTAACGTGGATAGCGTTTAGTAATCACTCAATTATTGATTGGTTGGTCTAACAAGCTACTATGCTAGCATCTCTAATTTTAATAATCATTTTACACTGCCAAGTTAAAGAGTTTTGGTATAGCATAGTGTATGCTAATGTGATAAAGAGTTTTAAGTGAATGCGTAAGGTCTAGCTTATTAAATTCATTTAGCTTAGTAGTTATGTTAAAAGGGAGCTCTAGAGTTTGTGGAGTGACCTTTATTAAAGGGACAAGAGATGAATGCATAGTTTAGGTATGTGAGTTGTGAATTACTCGAAAACGAAAGGATAACTATGGTTCTGTTATCCTAAAAATCAGTTAAGCTAAACAAAAATAAGTTAAATTTAGCTAATATAAATTAAGTTTAAACAAGTAGAGGTTAACGAAGCTTAATTGAGTCGTTATGTTGTGAGGAAATTTGTGTCATTGAGTGAGAATATGAAGAAAAAGCTAAAGACTTTTCTCTATCAGTTGGAGGGTTAGGGCTCTCAGAGGGTGGAATTGAATGCCTAATTATAGAGAGACTGAGCAAATGTAGGGAGCACTTTTTGTATGTTTGTATGATAACTTTCTAGAGCTTCTGATCAATTCTTGGGATTTGCTATCCTGTTATGCAGGGATCACATCATTTTTTAGCAAGGCTGAACATTTTTTCGATTAGGAGAATAGCTTTAAGGGGTGGGTGAGCATGCATATCTGATTATCTGTTCAGACAGCTTGTACACGATTCATAATGAGATGATGTAGTGATGATTGTCCTATCTAACTTTCTTGGCATGCTATATTTAATTTTTGTTTCAATTCAAAATTAATTGCATGATAAAAGGGTCGTTTGAGCCAACAATTCTACAATGAAACCCAAATGGGGATAGTACTATAATCTTTTCAGTAGTTTTTAGCTCTTAGGAAGGAGTCATGCTTGGTAACGATGGATGATGAATCACTTTCAGATTTAGACTATTCGACAAGGATAGAGATGGTATGAATTCTTCTTTGTTTATTCATTTTGATTTTGGTTTTCTGGTCATTTTGTATCGTATGATGATTTAATCTTGTGTAGATCTTGTTTTGGGTTTTTTTTGTATTACCTTTTACTTGCCTAGCTTGATTATGTTGGTTTTAATTAGGAATTGATAATGTGATTGATTGTATTTTATACTTGATTTAATTATGTATGATTAGTTTGGAAAGTATGTGGGATTATAGTAAATTTAATATGTGGTTGGTTTTATATGATCTAATTGGTCTAATGGACCTGTTCATTATAAGATCTAATAGAGTCTGTTTCCTTATATGATCCAATGAGTCTGTTTGATTTTATATAAATAGGAAGTCACCGTCGAGAAGATGTCAAAATGGAGAGAAGAAGACTAGAGGTCATTGTTGAGAAGCTGATATTCGGGTATGTTTTGTTCAAGAACGTGGACTTCCAAGCTTTTTTAACTCCATTGAAGTTGAGAGAATGCTTTAGGTGTCGACAATAATTGGTATATAAAGTAATCATCTTAGTAAACAAGGGTGATGTAGCCCTTTATTGTTTGATTTTGTAATTATAAACATTTGTGTCGTAATATGTTTAGTTGTTAACTACTACTTAGACCAATGTTCTATAGGAAAATGTACATGGAAATAACTCAATAGTCAATAAATTTGCCTAATTTCTAAGAGTTATGTTTTTTTGAATGTAATCAATTCACCAAATTTCCCTGTTATATACAAATATCAAACTTTCGTAAGCAGGGCAATGCTTTGGAATGAGTTTAATTTTTTAGCATAAGTAATAAGGTGTTTGCAATTAGTTTAATTTTAAAAGTATTATAAATCATTGTCCTTGGTATTTTAAAGTGTAATCTGATTTTAATTTTGCAAAGTCTAATTATATTTTAATTTAAATTTAAAAGTGTAAGTATAACCCATTGTGAAAACATTTGGCAAATTTACTTTGAAAATGTTTATGGCTTTTTTATCAAAGGATGACCTATTATCCAAATAAAACCATATAAGTTGGAAGATTAAGAGTATGAAAATGAAGAAAGGTGTCGTCCAACAGTCAAATAACAACAAATAAAACATAAATATTAATATACATTTACAGTATAAGTCAAGTATTACACTATAATATCAATTTAGTAGTGACTTGGGCATTAATTATGAATAAAGAATCAAACTTATTTCTAATGAGTAAAATTACGAAACACGTTATATACATATGTTTTTAAGCAGGACGCTGCTTTTACCATTCACATGCATACAAACCTAAACACATTACAATCATTAAAACATATCCAATTAACATTAATCAAACTTGCATGCATTTTAATAATCTTCAAGATAACATATTTATTAACATGAACAAAATTACATATCATAGCGTTGGGGGGCGCGCGCATTGTGCGCGCACCAACAACTAGTTAGTAATAAAAGTCATCACTGTGTTATTTACTCCCTATGTTCCATAATTATTTGCGCATTTACTGTTAATACACTTCCCAATGCACATTTTATATCATTGATATCTACATTGCTATATTTGTAAGAATTATAAAAGTTGAATAATAATGATCAATTTATTAAGACGAATCAAACAAGACCCGACATGACTATATATATTTATCTTAATATGTTAATAGATATATGAAAGATTTCTTTTACATGTAAATAGTGGAAAAAAAAAAGAAAAAAAAAAAAAAAAAAAAAAAAAAAAAACTCAAATGCACAATTGATTGTGGAACAGAGGGAGTATATGAAAAATATTCTCAGTATTATAACAACTTTTATGTAGTACATAGCCGACTATACAATTAATGAAATTTATGCAGTATGAAAAGTTTTAAACAGTCTAAGAAAATATTTATGCTATAACATTATAAAACATAGAAGTTTAACTTACATATCCGCATGAGATATATTTCTATAAGGTTTAGCTTATTATTCGTGAACATAGTAACTTATTTTATTTTATTATTTTCATCTTATTATTTTAATTTATTTCATCTTATATATGGTTATATTTAAGAAGCTAAATATAAAAATAAAAAAATGGATCAAGTATTTATTGCATCAAACTGCACGTGAATCTATAATAAAATTTCCAAATTATTTCCATTATAGAAAAAGTAATAAATGTTTATATGTAACTCTTTAGGACTACATATATCATCATCCTTAATATTAAGGCAATTATAAAATCAACTTTACCATTACCATTTACTTTCTAATTTAGAAGTACATAAAAAAGAAACAAAAAAGAAAAGCTTTAAAAAAAAAAGAAAAAAAAGAGAGAAGAGAGAGATAATGGCGATTGGAGCGCAAAGACGAGCAATCAAGCAAGGAGCAATGTGGTATTAGATCCAAATTTTGTTTAATTAGTTTTGCTTATTAAATTAACTGATTTGATTGATTGATTTAGATTATTATGATTTGATACCTTTATAATATAAAGGTAACTCGTATTATAATGTCTGCAAAACCTAGATTTTGCTTGAAAACCACAAAACAAATTACATTTTGCTTGATTGATTTTGATTATATTGACTGATTTGATACATTTTGCTTGAAAACCACGAAACAACCTTGATGATCTATAGATAAATCATTTATTTATTTATTTATTTTTTTTACAACCAATAATCTTAAAATTACAATTGAAGTATCATCATCATTCTCTTCATTTCATTGGCATCATCATCATTCCTCTAAAGAAGACTTGTGCACCATCTATGATATTTTTAACCTCTTCCAACTTCTTGATAACTTCCTGATTTTTAGAGTTGATTCCAGCAGCAAATACCAAATCCCAATATCTCCCTGTTGTACAATGTTTCAGAAAGTTACACTGTTAGGATAAGCATTATTATTAGTAATCTAGACATCATAGATTGTGAATAGACAAAAGATTAAGTTCTACTTACCCAGCATTAAGTTGGGCTTCAGCAGAAGTATACTGAATTACTGATATCAGGAAATTTATTTTTGTTTCTTTCAGGCTATTTCTTCGAAACCAGTTTAGCACCAGCACAACAACAGAAAAATTCAACTTCGTTCAGACATCGATTAAGACTTTCAAGTATATAAACAAGCTAGAGTTCAACCAGGAGACTGAATCAGGATTCACTATACACAATTTAATAGGAAGGCCATTAATTGAAAGGCCCCAAGCAGCAAATTATCAGGTATTTATATAATACTAAATACAATAAACATTCTTCTTTTAAAACAAGGGAATTAACATTTTTCTTTCAATGCAGGAGAAAGCGATGCCAGAAGAACTGCTGAAAGAAGTAAACATAAACTGGAGGTGTTTGGATAAGAAAGGTGAACGGGCCCAACACAAGTTTATTGCGTCACGCTACAATTTCTATGCAGTGAGACAGACCCTACTCACGAGCCAGGAGGACTACTTTCAGGCAGCATTGAGGCTGAGAAAGGAATTCAAATTGGACATTTTAGTCCCACAAATTGCTAAAGCTATTTCTTGTCAACAAATCATTACACGTGGTTTCGTTTGGGAGAGAGTTTCATCAAAGGAATTCAGCGCAGAGTTGGCACTAGCGACCAACTCTGCTTTTCGACTCGTTTTAAGAGAATTCAACAATAGTCAGGGGGTGTTTGAGATCGAAATGAAGTTGGATGGATCTTTGAACAAGATTCCGCCAACACGTGCAAATACATTAACACATAAAATGGACGACTATGTTCTTGTATGAACCTCCACATGTAAACAAAGCCAAGCTAGACAGAGAAGGGAGACTACAGGATCCAATTGAAGCACCTCTTTGGGCTGTCATAGATGCATGGGAAAGGGTTCATATGGACAGAGACTTCTCAGATGATGAGCAGGAACAAGAAAATATTGAAAGCACACAAACCGATGCATCACAACAACCATTTTTTATGGCAAATGACCATGAGGCATCAACATCTAATTCCAATGGTATGAATAGCCAACATCAATGATGTCATCAACACAAACACACAAGAAGAAGCTGCATATCAGTTCGAGGTGGATGCAGATTGAGGGACAATGAAGAAACTACTTGGACAACATTAACTGCCACACATAACCAGCCTTTTGTTTTTTTTTTTTTTTTTTTTTTAATGTGTAAGGGACTTATATTGTTTAATCTATTGTTGGTTAGGTGTACCTAGTTTACTTAGTAGCAACCATTTGGGTAGGGTAGTTAGTGTTACATCTTTTGTAAAGGGACTCGTATGTAACTGAATTTGATTTGAATGAAGTCCAATTATTAAAGACATTATCTGAACTTTGAATCCATCAATCCATCAGAGGGTTTTTTATTCTCATAAACCATCAACAAACACGATACCTCACAGTCTGTGACATCATAGACTGGAGCAACACGTGTTAGGAAAAGTTTTATTAATTGAGTCCCTTCATCATATGGATTTTGCCCTTTTATGAATAAATGAAACTGTTCATGAAAATAGAGGGACACGAGGGAAATGAAGGACATGAGGGACTCCACATGTATCAACAATGAAGGGACTCCACATGTATCACCAGCAAGAACCATAAGCAATGAAGGGACTCCACATGTATCACCGGCAAGAACCATAAGCAAACCACATCAACTAAGCAAACCACATCAAACAACAACTAAGTAAACCACATCAATTTACAGTAATTGAGACTATAATTTTGTTAGGATTACTAAGCAAACCACATCAACTAAGTAAACCAAATCAAACAACAACTAACCACACTACATCAATTTGATTTATCTGGACTTTAATTTTGCATTCTACTAAGCAATCCACATCAACTAAGCAAACCACATCAAACAACAAACACAACATGCTGGATCAACAACAACAAACATGATTCCACACTATAGCCTAAACAGCATAACAAACATGCTGTTTCAACAACAACCACACACATTTCACCAACAATTATCCACCCTGCCAGTTACCTAGGTTACTGGCATACAACATGATTAATTCTTCCACCACCTAAACAGGATTCTAAAAAAAAAAAAAAAAAATTACATACAAACAAAACAGTTAGGGTTTCTTAGAAACAGTTACCAACGCCAAAACTAAGGCCGTTCAACGACTCAGAGGGGGGACTCCACGTTCTCATCATCATCATCGCAAGTAATTTTGTTAGGAAGACCTTGACGCCTTCGAAATGGAGACAGATAAGAACCCGTAGGGGGTTTGCCCACAGAACTGGGCTTGTTCAAGAAAGCAATTGATGACCCAGACCCAGAACCAAACCCTAATTCCTCTTTTTCGCCCAATTGTGTTCCCTGAAACCCTAATTCGTCAACGGGGGTGGGTTTTGGAGTGGTTTCGTCGTGACACTTTAACCCTAACACCACCGTCCGTTGTGTTTTAACCTCAGAAACAAACCCCTCATCTTCACCCTCACGGGAATTGATAGGGGAGGACCCAGAACCCATAGATCTGACCACTAAACCAAGAACTTCCCACAATTTGGGACTCATAATGTCACGCCCTTTGCCGGAATAGTACAAAGAACAAGGCCAGAACGACCCTGACTCAAATGCATCCAAGAAAGCGTTTATCATCCCCTGCTCGATATCATCCTCTGTCGCGAAAATCGCAATGTGAAGGGGGGTTAAATTCATGACATAAATTGGGTGAGAAAAAATGGGACTCGACAATGGAGGGGAGAGAGAAAAACTATCGCAGAGAGAGTATAAGGGGACTCAACAATGGAGGTAGAGAGAGAAAGTTAGGTGAGTGAAGT